GCACGCGCACGCGCACGCGCACGCGCACGCGCACTCGCACGCGCACGCGCACGCGCACGCGCGCGCACACACACGCACGCACGCACGCACGCACGCACGCACGCACCCACACACACACACACACACGCACGCACGCACGCACGCACGCACCCACACCGACACACACACACACACACTCACACTCACACTCACACTCACACTCACACTCACACTCAGACTCACACTCACTCTCACTCACTCACTCACTCACTCACACACACACACTGACACACACTCACACAATCACACACCCACACACACACACCTACACACACACACACTCACACACAATCACACACACAACCACTCACACACACACACACACTCACTCACTCACACACACACACACTCACACACTCTCACACAATCACACAATCACACACCCGCACACACACCCACACCCACACACTCACACACACACACACTCACACACACTCACACACACTCTCACACTCACACACACACACACACTCTCACACACTTACACACACTCCTACACACTCACACACGCACACACTCACAAACACGCACTCTCACAAACTCACACACTCACACACACACAAACAGTCACACACTCACACACACACACACACTCACTCACACACAAACACTCACACACCCACACATTCTCACACACACACACACACAGGAACGTGCCTTCTTTGTTCGAGGCTTCAGCCATGCCTGGGCAGGGGTGCGCTGCATCTATCGAGGCTTGAGAATGCGATTGCCTGCCCGTTGCCTTGGTTGGGACGAACAGCTGCCGCATCCAAACTCTGGTCACAAGCCCCAAACACCAGCCACAGCAGAAAGACCCCTGCCTGCATGCTGGAGAGCTCCCGGAACCGGCGAATCAAGTTCCACTCCATCCTAGCCAGCGAAACTTGCAACAGCGTTTGCACCATGATAGCAGGGCTCACCATGGTCAAAACAGTCGAGCTCATCCCCTCGATTCCACCGCTTGTTCCCCTCCTGAAGACGCCCTGCAAGCTGTAGCAGTGCTCAGCAGAGCTGATGACCATCTGCGCGATCTTGTGCAAGCAGCCTCCTGAATCAAATAAATAGGGGTTATTTTTCAGGGGACCCCGTTGGGTTCCTGCTGGCTTCCCTTTAAAATTCACCAAAACGGGATTCCCCCAAATGAGCAAAACCCTACCAAAAGATTTTTGGTTGGCCAGTGGCCAACTTCCGTCGCCTGACTTCACCGAGTTCTCCCCGGCTCGCAAGGCCGCAGTGACGGCTAGGGCGAGAAAGGCCGCGCGGGTCTCGGAAGAGCGAGGCCTTTCAACAATGACCTGTGACTCAAGCTGAAAAGGTTCTATCGCCCAAGACAAGCAATGCCAATTGCGCTATGACTTTCCGGAGCTGAGCAAATCCGAGCTACTTAAGCGTGTAGACTCTTGGGTATCTGTCTCAGCCTTTCGAAGCCTACATCCGGATCCAACATCCGGAGTGTCGAAAACTTCTCTTTTTCCAGCAATACAAAGCTGCATTTCGTCTAGGCCCCAAGGCTGTTGGAAGTTGGTCCAGAAGTCGATCTTTTGCCCGGCTTTGCCAAACTTCATTGGGTTTAACTTTTTTTGCAGAGTGCCTCTTTTGCGGTTGTTTTCAAGGAGCAATAAAGGGAAAGCACCCCTTGGAGGGTTCCCTTGAAGAGAAACCTAGATTGTGTAGGTGGCAGTGGCTCGTTTTGAGTGTTGGGTTCTGGGATCTGGGATGGCCGAACGGGGGCAAACGGGGCGTCTGCAAATGCACTTCCTTGGATTCCGAGAAAAAAGCGCATGAACAGTTTTGTTGGGTGTAACTGTGGCTTGTAACTTCTTTGTCTCGGGTTTGGGAAGTGGGCCACCAGCCAGCGCCAACAACAACATGCCTAGAAACGCAGCTTGATCAGAGAACGAATCCCGCCCAAGCGGCGTAGCGGATCTTCTTGCTGCCGAAGCCGGCTGCTTTGAATCCTGAGTTCTGATCTGATGCCATGCAAATCTCCAAGCGCAGTGACACTCGCGATCAATCTTGCGGCCCATGGCTCCCCGCGCTTGCACTCCATAGCAGTTCTCCAGGTCCAGCCCTGCAGCTTTCTTGATCGCCTTGACCTCCGGCAGGGCGCAGTCATTCGCCTGCAGGGAAGCAGGCAACATCCCGAAAACGCCGAGGCAGAACTCACTTGAGTGGGTGGGCCAAAACAGTCTGAACATTTACCACCCACATGGTAGACAGGACTAACGGACCAGGGTCTACTTGACCGAGCTCCTGGCACCCTGCCGAAGGATGATGAGCTTGGCCAATGCAGGGGGGTCTTTGTGCCGCCAAAAGGTGGACAATTGATCGACCCCTCGTAGTCAAGGATTCCTTTTTGGGGGGGCTCGGCCATTTTCTCCCTCAAAAGGTAGCAAAAAAAGATTCCCCTGGGCCAAGCTTGCAATGGTTCTCTGCTAAACTTTTGAAGCCTGGGGCTGAG